GTTTGATGCAAGCAACAAATCAGCATTACTCTGATTTGACATTTTTTTCTATCTGATAACAAAAGTCTCTATGGTGATGAAACTAAAATTTATCAAATTTGGCGCAGTTTCAATCAAATGGACGCAGGATGTATGCGAATGCGGATTTAAAAAGTTGTGAAATTGAAGAAAAAACGTAATCGACATCTTAACAGTAAAACAAATCCAAAATGAAAAAGAAACATAAACAAGACTGCTCGTATCAGGGCGTGGCCCTGAAAGTTCCGACTGCCTTTTAACGTTTATGGAGCAGTAATAACATAAACAACATAAAAAAAATTGGATCTACTTAACAATCTCCCCCCCCCCCCTATTGTATCTACTAAAGAAACCCCCTTTCTTGAAAGGGGGGGGGGGAGACTGTTAAGTAGATCCAAAAAATTAAATGAAACAAAATAAAATGAAAAACTTTTCTAAAATTTGAAATTTTTTCTATGAAAATCATCCCCACCACGCCATATAAAGTACAAAACAATATATTTTGCTCCATGTAACAAATCATTTATGGCAAATAAGCTTCTTTCAACCAATTTGGAACGATTTCTAAGACGGGTTAAGTCTCCGCTTACGCGTTAATAGCGCGAATTATATCGCTCGTTAATTGTCCCAAATTGGTCAAAATGGCCAAAATGGCAATCTTGAAACCCTCATAACTTTACGAAAAATGATCACAGGTGAAATATCTTTTCAAATTTAAGCTCAGGACAACAATAGCTTTCGAATGATATAAAAATATTCCGTCAAAAATGGCTAGTTAAAAAGTCGAACTTTGTCTGAAGAAAAAAAAACCCACCCCGAGCACAAATATTACGTTACTTTCGTATCGAAAGTCGGAACAAAAATGAAGCAGTAGCAGAAACTGAAACTGAAGAAAAGGCATGAGCTAAAAAACAAGGTTTTAATGTTTTGTCACGGAATTGCATGCCAACTGTAAATAATAGTCAAGAAAAATGGATACAGAAGCATAAGCACAAATCATATAAGCGATTTGAAGGTCAATTATGCGATTGTTATTCGAAAAAATGAGTTAGAAATTGAATAGAAAATAAAACTTTAGCAAACGAAACTGAGCAACGAATCTTGTGTCACTAAAATTCGATTTACAATTTTTAAAAAATACTGTAGAGAGAGGAACGTATAATGGAAAATCGGATAGATTGCAAAAACTGTAACAAATAAGAGTCAATTTTCAATCTGAATGCAACTGGTCAAAACTCAGAAACATTCCAGTTTGTCAAAGGTGTTACTTTACGCTAACGTTATAACCTCTAAGCTATATTAAGCTGCTGACGTATGTTTATGTTGATTTAAAAATACCTGCCAAAAGCGCAACGGCTTATGGTAGATTTAGAGAGATTGTTCATTGTCTAATTTTGATATGGAACCAATCTGACGGAACTAATCTTAATTCAACCTTTTCATTACCTCTTAACTTTAGTGTAGTTACCTTAGTCTTTTATTTAGTCTTAAATAAAAGCCTACAACAAATTGTAGGAATCTAAACCCGACCTGTCCTAAATTAGTCTTAGTTTAAGTCCAACCTTTACCAACCTTTAGACGGTTTATCCTAATTTTTTAACATGGCGCAGTCAAACGAGTTGAACCTACGAGGACTAGAGTTTTTTTGGAACAACACGTTGAGTGAAAACCAACACGACTGGGAAAGGTGGTCGGAAAAGTTCCAATTAACTACCATCGCGAAAGATTCCGTGGACATTGCAGATGTAATCAACCCACCGGTAAGAACCGAATTAGCATACCCAATGGCAGAACCAGCGGAACCATCCGATGATCAAGCCCGCCGGGCGGAAAATGAAGAACAACACCGAATAGCTATCCAAAATTACAACGAAGAAATGAGAAGGAGGAAGGCAGAAGACAATGCAAAATTCAACGGACTTCAAATCGGAGATATTGACAAGAAGTTAAAATCACAATTATACCTGGCTCTCGGAAGAGAAGGACAGAAATGCTTCTCACATAAAAATCCTGGAAAAAGAATACTGGATATTAACTTTGCTGAATTCTGGGAATTACTCAAAACTACTTTCATGGTCACTACAAATCTAACATACGAAAGATTTAAATTCTTTGGTCGGAGACAGAAAAAGAACGAGTCTTTAGAGAAATTCCATGAAATACTATCTGAGTTAGCAAAAAATTGTAAGCTGGGTGAGCTCGAGTCTGAGTTAGTCAGAGACATCTTTATTACAAACATGCGAAACGTTGAAATACAAAATAAATTATGCATTGAAACTTAACTTCAGAAAACGTACTATCTCATGTACTAGTCCACGAGAAAGGTACCAAAATTCATCATTAGTAACTAAAATTTCCTACCTATAGCGCGGTACAGAGACCACAATACATCAAAAACGAACCGACCTTAAATATCGTCGAAAACAATAAGTGCCGCATTGTGGTCAGCAGTTCAAGAAAACACACCTAACTACATGCCCAGCTAGAGACAGAAACTGCAATACGTGCGGACGTAAAGGCCAATTTGCAAAACACTGCAGGAGTTCAGCACGAACACAAACAAACATAGTAGAAAACAACCAAACACCTCAGGAAAAAAAAACACCTGGGCTAACCCGCAAGAAAATCCCGAATTCGAAGTTAACTTAGATGATTTTCTAGTTCTAGCAGTGGATACGGATACCCAAATAAATGCAGTTCAAGACAAGATTGAACGCGGAGTGAGAACGGTATTTAACCACGAAGGTGTAGAACTAAAAAAGACGTTGATGGTATCTCTGGGAAATTTCAATCCTTACCGCAGAGAAATACAGATTGACTCAGCAAGTCCAGTATCATTCACATGGGAGCATAATAAACATCACCGGAAGAGTTCGGGTGAGTATTCAATCAAAGAGTTGGAACGCTAGTGATCAGAAATTATTCATTACCGAAGGAAGGTGCAGAAAAAAATCTCCTCGGAAACGACATATTACCAAATCTGGGATTAGTAGTACTCCAAAAACAACCTCCACCCTACGGGCCAGAACTACGGAGAACTCAGAAAGGATCACCCAACGTAATAGACGTTAACCAAATAAGATTTGCATCGGACAAGAAACGTGAGCAAAACCAAGACACACCATCACAAAATGAGTTTAAAGAATACATACCAAGACAATTTTCAGTCCTCATTAAAAGATCCGGTAGATCTAAGAATTTTATAGTCAACACTTATTTTAACGAACCAATAAAGCCGATACAGGTAAAGGGGAAACGCATTCCAATTCATCTTCTCCCTAAAGTTAAACTATGTATTGACCAACTACTAAGATATGGCCACGTCGAAAAACTGTCTAGCTGCTCTGAAGATTGTTTCATCTCCCCTATCGTAATAACTGCCAAAAGAAACTTGAAATTACTGAACAAACAGATATTTCGCAAGAGATAGCAAATGCCGAATCTATTGGAACTAATTGATAACGTAGCTGTTACGATTAGCGGCCACGACGAAAAAAAAACATTTGGTTCTCATCGATCGATCTAAAGTACGCATATAGTCAAATACCACTTTCAAAAAAGGCAAGTAACCAATGTAATTTCAACATCGTGGGGGGAGAAGTAACAGGCTCTTACCTCTTTGAAACCGGATTCTATGGACTAGGCGGTATGCCTAATGAATTTTAACGCATAATGGACCGTCTGACGGAAAAACTAGCAAACACTCATAGTTACCTTGACGACATCTTAATGGCTACCGTGGGTAGCGAGGATGAACACAAAAAACTAGTTATCAACGTTTTAAAAACGCTAGACGACGAGGAATTAGCCGTAAAATGGGAAAAATGCACATTTTTGACTCACAACAAAGAATGGCTGGGATATAAAATCGATGCAAAAGGGACGACACCTCTAATACATAAATCTGACGCTATAAGAAACCTGAAAGAACCAAGCTGTATCAAAGATATAAGATCATTAATGGGATCTATTAACCAATTCAACAAGTGTTTACCAAATTTGGCGTCTTTATCAGCAACGTTTAGAGAACTAATGCAGAAAAACAAACCATTCAAGTGGTCCACAGTGCACGTCGAGGCGTTTGAAAAGATTAAGAATGAAATGTGTAACACGGTAACGAATCGTCACTTCGATGTAAAACTGAATACCTGAGTGAAATGCGACGCATCTCATTTGGGATTGGGCGCGTCCATCGAACAAGACCATTAGGGGAATTGGAAAACCGTAGCGTTTGCTAGCAGATATTTAAATGTTGCTGAATTAAAATACAGCACCAATGAACTTGAATTGCTGGGCCTAGCGTGGGCATTGGATCATTTTAAAAACTATTTACTGGGCAAACAATTCTCAATTCTAACAGACCATAAAGCCTTAATAGGAGCACTGAGAGACGACAAATACATTAAAACGGCACAATCACGTCTCACCCGTTGGGCAGACAAGTTACTACCGTTCGACTTTACCGTCGAACATTTACCGGGGAAAGACATGGGATTTGTTGATTACCTATCCCGACACCCATCGGGCAAACCCGTACCGGTCTCGCTCGACGATGAAAAGTTTGTTATCGCCTCGGTAAATCAAATTAGTACACTCCTATGTTTTGACCATTTGATGCCGAGAAATTCGTGGTTGCAAATGAGAATTAAATTCTCTCAACATTTCTTAGCACATGACGTCACACACTGCAATACGATTGGCCAGTCGACAGATCATATGACCTGATAAGAAAAAGAACGTGAGAAACTAATTGCTAACGCCGCTG